ACAGATGCGAGCTTTCTTATTTAAATTTTATTATGTAGGCGCCATTTGTTGCGAAATTTACATCCTGTTAGTGCACAGGTATATGTAATTGAAAACTTTTAGGGACAGTACAATACAATAATTAATTTCGTATGTTTAACTAATAATATTTTCGATGTAAATTCCACTGCATTAATTTATTTTTCATACGAATGTAACATTCTTTCCACTTTTCCACCTACACACACAATTCTCGCAAACATAACAAATAACGTCATCCGCATTTCATTATAAAATAACTATACAACTCGTACATTCAAAGAAAAATATGCTTATTACCCTTTTCGTATTTTCCTTTCATCTTCCCGGATTTTAATCTAGGAATTTACCGACATCGACCTACCTCCGCGCTTATTAATCCAGAATATACACTTATACGTCGGGTTGTTTTCCTATTTTCAAATTGCGGCTGGCGACCAAATAAATCCGTCATATCGCGAAGTCGGGAAAACTAGAAAAAGGCAGAAATGAAAAACCGCTCGAGCTTCAAGTCCCCGAGGAAAGCTAACGCCACAGTATGATTGGTTTCGCATTTAAACGGAACCGCGACTTTTACTTGCTACAATTAATATCGAGATTGAAGATACTAGCAATTTTGTAAATAAAAAATTATGGTTAGTTTGTTGGCTTTCTTTGATCATTGGGGATCTAGTTGTTGGTAGAAGTTTGGTCCCCCGGGGACCGAGAACTCTATCATACTTCGATCATTGGAGATATATTTTTAAAGTTAACGCATTAGTTAATGCAGAAATTTCTGGTATAGGGAAAACAAGTGGATAATAGATTGTCAACGACACTCGCATCGGGGATTATTGCCGGCTCTGGTGGGTTCTGCGGGTGTATTTATGCTTCGACGAATAACATCGGCCATTGATTGACAACCAGTCAGGCGAATTCGGAAGACGTTGCCGCGAACCGAAATTGCGTTTACGCGATTATTCGAGTGCCGTTCCCTGTTTCGATGGGATTTACTCAATTTACGCCGACGGGCCAGAATCTTCAGGTTTTTTTTTGGCCCGGCTAAATTCCGGTTGAGCGTACGAAGTAAGTGGCTGGAAAACGGATTAAACGAGTCAGGTGAATTAGATGAGGGACTTTATGTTTGATGCGATAATACACAACATGCTTTGTATATATTCGGCGGTTTCCTTTCGCATCCGCATTTTCCATAAGGGTCCGTTCGAGATAGCATCGCTAAACATTAAAGCCCGGCCATTTTATTACGTAGTTTCGGTGTTATCTGAGGTTGTGAATATTCCATTATTAAAGCCGTGCTTTACCATATAAACACCTACATAACCAATTTAACGGATTAAACGAAAAGAGTGCTTTCATTTACATTATTTAACTAATTAATCAAACATTAATTTCGTTTATAGAAGAGAAAAGTTTGCACTTAGACAATAATATAAACTATTTTTGAGTCGACTTGAGTACAACGAAAGAGCAGTAAAACTCTCACAGCAGTACATTCATGCGGTCGTTAAGAACAACTGATATCTCGTTGTAAAAGTAACATCGCGAGCTGTTATTAAAAAAAAGTGTGCGGTGCAAGTAATAGCGTGACTACGGCACTTTTCCTTTTGTCCGGGTAGTTATCGCTCAAACTGTTCCATCTCTTCAACAATGCGCATTGTGCGGCCGTTTTATCATTGTCTTCGACCGAAAATTGCGAGTACTCGAAAAATCCGATACCGATTCGTCCAAAATTTATGTTGATTTATATAATTTTATTCGAGCGTTAAATTCCCGGTTCGCATTCGAATTATGAAAAGATTTGTCAGTTACAAAGGGTTTTTGTTTGATACTTCGAACAAAATCAGGTAGGCGACCAATTAAATTCGAAAATAATTTAACGAAGAAAAGACGATAAAATTGAATTTTAGACGGGGATATACCTACATAAAAGCTTCAGGTGGAATTCAGCGGGCTAAATTAATGGAAAAAAGTTACTCGAATATTCCGGGTAGTAAATCCGCAAAAATACAAATCAAACAGTACGTGACAAAAAGCGGCAAGTTTGCAAATTTGCCCGGCAACTTTTACAACAAGCCAGTCGAATTTGCTATCTCCATTAATTCACCTTTCGCCTTGAATACGCGAGGATGAGCTTGTGTGTTCGATTTTACAAAAAAAAATGTACAGAGCTGGAATCAAGCGTCGCTAACAAACAGTTAATTGTAATCTATCGATTTCATTTTCTATCAAGACTCGGAATAAACTAGCGGAAATACAGTGAACAATTTAAAATGTCCATCAATCCAATATAACGGTAGTTAATTTTATAAACTTGAAGCTGCGATGAGTAGATCTTCGTTCGGGTCGAAATGAGACATAGTCGATTCGAGTTTTAGTGCACTTTTTTACAGCTTTTCGTGTAATTGAACTCGAAATTTACGAGTCCTAAGCGCGGATTAGCATTTAGATATTCACCTCTTTAAATGCAAACGGGTTTTCATCCACGCATTTTCCAAATCGACTAAAAGAAGAAAAAAATATCCTCTTTTATCATTCGCATCTAAATCCCGCCTTTCATTAGTATTACAAACAGTATCATACACTCGAATGTCGCACTGACGAAACACACCGAGTGTATACACTAAATATCATTTTATCATTTTAGAAACTCGAAAATCGGTTTGCCGCCCTTTCGGAAAGTGTAGTGTAGAGATCGTACGTTGGAAGGCGACCAACTTTAATCGGAATTTATGTTCCATCTTCGAGCCCGGAACGCCGCCGCCCGAAAAACATCAGTTCCCGTTGCCTCGGAAAATAATTGAGCAAGATGGATTCGAGCGATTTGCGGGAACGGTTCCGAGATGCAACCTTTTTTTTTTCTTCTTCCTCTTGATTTCGGCCGGGCGGTTTTCGAAAACAACAGGCCATTTTAAACTAGGAATTAATTGGGCTGTTATGGCGAGACAAAGGACGAAGGATGTCGCGTAGGAATAACACCAGTGCGAGAAAGGGAGTTGTAATTTCGCTCGAAAGGGAGAGAGATGGAATTGCAACCAAGCGTTTTCAGGACAGTTTCATAATCGTCCAGAACTGTTCAAAACAATTTCAAACTGACCAGATTCATTGTAGAACTGGTTGAGACGATTTGCAATTGTTCAGAGAAATCTTAAAACGATCCAAAAATATTCAAAACCGTTCAGAACAATCTTAGAACGATCCAAAAATATTCAAAACCGTTCAGAACAATCTTAAAACCAGCCAGTACTGTTCAAAACCATTTAGAAGAGAACTGTCTAGATTCATTTTAGAACCGACTGAAACTATTTACAATTATTCAGAACAAACTTAGAACTGTCCAAAATTATTTAGAACAGATTTAGGACTATTTGGAACGATCCAAGATAAAACCTATAAAAAAACTATTTTAAACGCTTTCAGGATTATTACTCATAAAAAAGTGTATTTTTTTTGCTACTTCTCCTGTTGCATCTTCATTTAGCTTATTTTATTATTTCTTCTATTGCTTCATGTGGCGCTGTTACTAAAACATTTTCTGTTGCTTCGAATGTGTTGTTGTTGTCTGCGTGGAGTGAAAGATTTTTTTAGCTCGTCGAGGGAAAAAGTTTTTAGCGTTTTATTCGAGTGAAAATAAGCGCGCCTTCGGATGGTTATTGCTTATGCCCTAAATCGCGTTTTTTTTATTGCCCGCCGAATAACCGAATAGTTGGCGTGGAAGAAGTTACGTTTGCGAAATCGCGAGATCCATTTGGCAAATTTTTATGGAACTCGAGCGATATTTTCGCCGCGCGAAATAAGCGTATTTCTTTAATTATCCGATTTCCGAAAATCGAAAACAACTAGTTCAGATGGAGCGTAGAAATTTCGGTATCGTCACGCCGGAATAATTTTCTATTTTAAATTCTGTCCTTCCTGCATCGATCTCGAGGGTATATCGAAGAGCCCCGAGGGTCGAACGGGACCGCTCCCGTTGGTTTCGAATAGCCCCATTTACATTTTTATATGGGATATGCGAACAACACGTGCTTACAACGCAAACTGTATCAGACGGTGTATTGTGAAATAATTTTGATCGATGAGCGTCCTCTTTCGGCGCTCCAATAAATTTTTTACAGGCTAATTTATCGCCTGCTTACCATACAGGCCCCTAACTAAAAGTAAAATTGATATTACGCACATATCCCGGTTCCAATCCATTAGGAAGAAACAGAAAAAAAAACTCCATCCGCAATCTTTTCTCCACGACCGGGCGTTCAATCGATCTATGTAAATCTAAACAAACGAATTTCGTCCTGCAAATCGCCTGACATCTGATAAATCGCGGGTCACTCACTCGTTATATCTAGGCCATATATTTCGTCCCCTTCTAGCATTTATACCTTAGCCTTCGGACTTGAGACAGATTGATACATCTGTACGCCAGCGCCAGTCCATCATTCCACCAACTAAATTAAACTTCAATTAACTTATTGTTAATGGCTCGTAAATGTCTCAAATTTGCTCTTTGTAACTTATCGGCAATATAGTCGAGAATAGCTACTTTAATAGAAGCTTTTAATAAATGAATAATTCCTTTATTAGACGGCGATGCAACTTAAAGCGATATCATCCGATGTTTAGTATTTTCCGAGCGGCGAAAATGCAATCCATATTAAGATGATTTCGAGCAAACTCTCGAGACAATGCGACTGCTTTTAGCCGCTGCTAGAGAAGCTGAAAGCTCACGAGATTATTCCGGCGATGCACTTCTTGATTTCGTTTTTTTTAATTATCTCTTTTAATGCTTGTTCTTAATGCCTTCGGCCGGGGTGTATATCTGGCGCTCGGAAAATTTCCCTTCTGGAGAGCGGTGCTTTTTAATGGCTTTACTGCAGAAAAGAGTTCCGAATAATTTTTGATGGGCCCGCTTCGGCGAATCATTCGCTAAATTATATTAATTAAATCTGAATGATAGCATTAACTTTAGCTGAATTTAATAATAAAAACCGGCTTCTCGTTCGTTTATTCAAGTAGGGTATCCGACTACGGCGCTTTCTTATCATCTCTATGCTTAATATAAGAAAGGACAATACTGTAAAAAAACGTCACTAAATTCACGTAAATCACTTGGAATTTGTTAGGAATAATGTAGAAATTGATGAGATTGGCCGGCGGCCAGATGCACCAATCCGCCCTGTATATATCCAGGAACTTATCCTTAAACTCCTCCAGAGCCTCGTAGGCGGTTTTCATCTCCAAAGCGCTCATGCCGAAAAAAAACACGCTGATGTTAAGCGGAGACACAGCCACCTGATCGAAGACTATCTTCCAGGCGACCACTTTCGGCGTCCGCTGCGGCCAGGTGGTCGCCAGCCAGGTGTAGTAGTAGTGGGAGAGCGGCCCCATCAGGATCAGCGCGACGGCGAACATCCTGGCGGCCCGGGCGACGTCGTAGCGCCGCTCCAGGATCTTGTGGCGGTACTCGACCTCCTGCTGCACCAGGTCGCCCACCAGCATCAGCACGGCGTTGCTGAGGACGTTCGTGATGGCCAGATAGCGTTTGCTGAACATCTTCATCTCGCCTTTGTCAGGGCTGTGCCGGTGCTGGGCGGTGGATACGTTCCTGAAGGCGCATCTTACTGTGGTGATTAGGAAGCTCTCTACGTTGATTTTTATTCTTAAAATTGTGTTCATTCGGTCGGGTTTCGCGGATTAATAGGCGTTGCATTCGAACTGGCAATTTTCAATCGAATTTCAAGTCAATTTCGTCTTGTTTTATATCGAAATGCTCGTTCGGTATTGAATTAAATCGAAAGTAGGGCGTTCTAAACATTGGATTCAAATAAAAAGTTGTGTATTAGAAAATGTCATTTTGAAAGAATGAACGCACATTCGTAGGTTATATTATACAATGTGATAAATTCTATTAGTTACTTTTTGTAGTAAAATTGGCTCATTGAAAGGGGTAATATTTTATTGGACGGGTGATTCCCCCGTCAGGAGACGTCCATTCGAAAAATTTATATTGATCCTATATATCTTACCAGCGCACGGCGAAATCATATTTTTCGCTAAAAAGCGACAGGAATAATTTTATATATTCTGCGCGCAGAGTTATGTAAAACTAGTGGTATTTGGATTTATGGAGACAACGACAAGGAAATAGGTTCATCCAGGTTAAGGTTGAATTATGCATGGATTTATAGCGGCAGTCCCGAATTTGCCTTTGGATCGGGTGAAGCTCGCGTCATCAATCATCATCATTAAACAAAGCGGGAAATAAATACAAATAGGGATTAAAGTAGATTTATTCCAGTCCGCGAACCGTACAATATCTTTTCAAAGTATTCCTCTTCATCGAATCCTAATCCCTACCTATAGGAGGAAATTTCTGGGGTGCCGAAAGGCTTTCTTATTCATGTGTTTTTTTTATAGTTGCCGGCAATAAAGTAATAATCGATAGATAAATTTTCCAGTCACGGATCGGGCGTTGCTAAACTTTCTCCCTCATAAAGAAAATATCCAATCTGAATTAAACATGAAACGATTCGGAAAGGACGCGCATCGGCCGGTCCGACAATTTAAAAAGAGATTTATTCGGATAAATCCCGCAGATTTATAAGTTTACCGAGTCATTTTCCTTCCTTTAAGACAAGACGTATTTATATTTTTATCTGGACGGCGAACCGCTCGAAATCCAGACGGAAAATATGAGATAACTGTCGAAATGTGGACGATTCTAAGCCGCTTGATTTATTTAAAGCTCTCTTTTTGCATGATGTTATTTTCCTATCTCATCTTCGAGAGCTCTTTTGCATCAAACAGAGAATTTGGCCGTACCTACATTAAAAATTTCAATCCTGAATATACGACCCTATACTACACATCTGGAATCCCCCCTCAACTATAAAAAGCTTATTTTTTCGCACACCCCAATGACGGCTTTTTTATCTTTTTATTCTATACCCCAAAACTGTCAATATCGTCAATATCTATTTCAAGGTTATTCTTTTATGCCCCGCAAGTTTCCGATTCCCCGAATATACCATCTATTACTCAGATCAATTTTCATGTCGTGTGATGTCGAAATTACCTAATAAAAAAGGGATAATATAAAAAAGGGGGAGAACCAACCCGTCTCAACTTTCATGAAATAACTGCAAATCGAACGCACGACCGAATTTTATTAGTTCCCAGAAAACTAACAATTTTATTCCACCAACTACCTACACAATTAAATCCCGATTAGAAATGAAAATGCAAGATAAATAGTTTATTAGATTTGTAGATAGTTTGATGAATAGCATTAATATGAATTAATAATCATGAATAGCAAAAATTATTAGATGAACAGAGAAATTGATGAATAAATAATTAAATGAATGGAAGATTATATGATTCGTCTAATAAATGAATAGACGAATAGATGATTTGATTAATAAATGATTAGATGAATAGTATAGTAAATGAATGATTGAATAGATTAATAGATGGTTTGATGAATAGCTCATTAGGTGAACAAATTATTAGATGAATAGCATATTAGATGAACAGTTTAATAGACAATTTGATCAATGAATAGCAGGTATAGTAAATAAATGATTAAAGAGATACTTAGGTGAATAAGTTATTTGATGAATAGCAGATTATTTGAATAGATAATTGTATGAGTATATTAATAGATGAATATACAATAACTTTAATAAGCAACTTGATCGACGATAGGATGAATAGACAATGGGATGAACAGATGACAATGCGAACGTACAATTAGGTAACAAGGGAATTAGATGAATAGGCAAAGTATTAATAATTACAGGGAGGAGCGGAAAATTCATGTCAAATTCATGGCGGGCCTCGGAGCGATGGAAATCGTTCGGAACATGTCTTTAGGTCGTCGAGGCCTTTCCGATCGAAGCCTTTTCATTGTCCTGCACGTCGCGCACAAAGGATCTCCGACGGCTTATCCGACAGCGTTTCATTCCTAATCCCGCTAAATCTGAATTATATAATGCCCGTCTCCAATTCGAAGTCGTTGTTATTTATATCTTCGAGAAATGAATGCGTCTTAATTCGCTTTAGACGTCGACTAATTAATTCTGTTTCCTTTCGGAATTAGTCGCCCGCCGTTCGAACGAAACGGAAATAATGGGTTTTGCGTTCAACGGGCATTAATGTCGAACTGTTGCTGTCTATATGCACGTCCGATTTCCTTACTTTTCACTTACTATTCTATCGCATTAAAGCATCTTATCTCGCCTCTAGAGGTAGTTAAATTACACCGTTAAAATGTTTTGATTGATACACCTAGAGGGTTTGTAGCTGAAAAATTAATATTTCGTGACGAGGCCTGATCCCCCATTATGTTACTTAATATGTAGCCTGGCAGATGGTTGAGCACATATTAAATTTTCCGTCAGTCTCTTTGTATTGATTTGCGGTTTACGTTCCGTGCTACATTCTGCAAAGTGACGATGTAGATGTAGATATACCTACACGTAACGAAACGAAAAGCTTCGCCTTTAACCAGACAACTTAACTCAATCGAAACATATATGCCCAATTTGGGTTTAATTAAGTTTGTGTTATCGATTCTCCCTTGTCTATACCTACCCCTTTGGAAGAAATTAATTAACGTATCCAATTACTTTGAAATTTAATATGTGGTTTAGATGTGTTATGTGTATTTCCTCTTCTACTGCTTTAGCTTCTGCTACTTCTTCACTTTATTCAACTGCCTATTTCTAACAATTATTTCACCTTCTACTTCTGTAATCACTACTTCAGCTACTTCTTCAATTCATTTAACTCCAATCGCATTTATTATGTTATTCATCTGCTTATATTCTTCTGCTACTTCCTTACAATTATTTCACTTGTTATTTCATCTTCTACTGCTGCAATTATCCCTTTATTCACTTCTTCAATGCATTCTTCTCTAATTGTATTTACTATGTAACATCTTTAAGTATTCATGTGCTTCTCCTTTAACCAATTTTGCGTTGGTTTTTGTTGTAATTATTTCCCGATTCGTACACGATAAAAGAAAAGTAACACAGCAGCAGGAACGATTCGGGATCGGATTATCTCACGTATTACCCTTAGCGAAAAACGCTTGCACCCCCAAATTGGTGCCGTCTCATACGAGAGTATCCCCTCCGGTTTTCGCTAAGTGGATTTTTATAGCGGGCGTGCATCAATCTCTGTCGACATCAACTTTCCAATTAGATTAGACTACATTACTCTTCGTATTTTTCTTGTACGCCGCGAGAGATCCCGATCTGGGCGAGAGGGAGCGACGGGAAAAAAAAGGGGCTCATTTAAATAGAGAATGCGTCTTCAGTGGCAGAAAGGAGGCGTTGCGAGATCGGGATTAAAAAAATCGCAGTCGGGCAGGGTTTAATTCGAGTTTTAAAAGGAAACTAATGTCGGTATACATTTTTTTTACCGGATCAAAATTTGTAAAATGCGGAGAACCTTCGCACGAATATATCGGTTCTCGAAAGGAAAGGACGTTCGGCAATAAAGGAAAGCGATTGGGTGTGAAATTGAGGTAAGAAACATTATATGTTATTAGAGATTCCGCATTAAAGGAATAGAAGGGCATGAAATCACTGTGGAGATTAAGGTACTTTTCCTAATGCTTCTTATTACGTCATTACACACTATTTGGAGAGAAACCCCATCAGTTTGTCCCTTTCGCTAGACTTTTAGGATAAGTAGATAAAAGGGGATATGCAATTAGAACGAAAAAAAAAGAGAATTATAATATAACACAAGAGATTTGATTCTGGTAAAAATGATACCGAGAGGTAAAAGGCCGGCGAGAAATTGGTGTGTTTGTTTTCGTCTCTCTTTTTCTGTGTTTTATCGAGCGAAAGCAATTTTAATGTTTGCCGTGGATGTATTCTTACTGATATCAACCGAACGTTTTACCGACTTTGAAAATCCGATAAGCGTTCGCTCATAAAGTTTTAACACCACTTTGGTAGATATCACTCCGGGAGGTCGGGCTTCCGCTAACTCGACTTTCTTCGCAACTTTTCACTTTGTTCTACATAATACATTATATTTTTCTGTTATGGCCGACCCGTCGAGGGTCCGCCGTTCCGGCCTAATCAAATTTAGGACACTTTTTTTTCGGGAATATGGAATTTATTCGATTTGCCAAGATTTAAATTTTTAAGTTCGTTTCGATATACTTTATGAAAGTTTTGGGTTTTTTTTTTGAAGTTTTATCCTCCAATTCTTTCCATAAATATTCCTATTTGTAGGTGTTGTTTTAATTAATTATTTAATATGCTAAATATTTCAATTATCGGTTCAATAGTTTTTGTAAAGTTAATATTCCATTTTTATATATTTACATTCCTCTAATAGAATTTACAGTAGAAAATTTAATCAAATGAAACCAGCCAATTTAATTAACATTTCATGACATCATACATTTGGATAAGAGCACATAAATAGAAAACGTTGATGAACACAATCCAATAATTCAAAAAAAAAATTTTTTTTTGATTAATCCCTCTGACATGTTGTATTAACACGAATCGATGCGGGGGAAAATCGCTGTGGGTTATTACGCAAAAAAGTTCCACATCGGGATAAAATACGCATGGAAAATTAAATTTCGCGATAGATAGTGCACAAAATCGGCCTGTCGTAATGAGAAGTTACTCGTCGAATCGAGCGGAACAAATCAATGTAATTTTATTATACGAGGGCGAAACAAAAAGTCGCAAATACCGCAAGTTCGTTCGAAATTTACTGCATCTTAGCACCGAGAAACTTATTAAAACTCGTAGAATCTGCCTCGGGTAAATACTAATTAATCGCAGCGTCGGTCTTTTTTTGCGCTATACAGCA